TTTTTTAAAAAATAACATATCTAATGCATTTTTTTAAAAGCAAAGAAAATTGGGAAGGAGAAGAATGGAGATTTCTAGCCCTTCCTAATTGAATAATACTGCCCTTCTATTTAGCTGTATCTAATCTGTGACAGACAGGCCTAAACCATTCCATAAATAAGAGAATAAATAGAATTTCATTTCATATTAATTAGTAATTTTCTAAAGAAGGAAAAGTGGGGTGGGAAGAGAAAAGGTTTTATAATGAATAATTTACAATGATATTTGAATTTTTTGGCAAATGTCCGCAAAGAACCTAATTTAAAATTCTCATCTCTGAGATTCACACAACCTTCACTCAGGATAGACCATTCATACCTTCCAGTTATATCTTTGAAAGGACTTTGTCTGGGGGGAAAAAATCTCAATTCAGTATTCAAATTGATAAATCTGTTAATCTTCCATTTTCCCACAATTGAATTTGTTTTAAATTTAAATTATTAAATTTATTTGAAGAAAGAAAGAAAACAGAGTTTAATTCTAGGTTGATATAGGAGCAAACATTAAAAGGTCATGAAGAATGACTCATCTCAACTACCATAGGGCTTACAATGATGAGTTAACAAATGTATGCATCACAACTGTTCATTTAGTTCACTTTTGCTTCCCCGTGTATTTCAAAGTCCAAGCAGAACTCATCCAACTCAGAACTATGGGGGGAGGAGCAGAAGGAGGAGGAAATTCTAAAGTATTATTCTTCTCAGAAAAAAAACAACAACCTGGTAAGTGGATTTCATCAGAACTACCCCACTGGATCAGCTAGCTGCATTTTAAAATATTGCTCCTCAGTCAATGAAGTATTTGGAGGTAACATCTTTTGAATTCATTTTAGTAAAAAATATAAATGTATCTTTACAAAACTATATTGCTGTTTAATTTCACCATAATCCCTAAAGAAAAATTTGTTAATTAGTAGGACTAGCGTTAAAAAAAAATGTGTTCCACATTTTAACCTCCTAAGACCAGATTCTCTGGCAGATGGATAAGAAAGGGTTTTGTAGTTCCTGGTGTGCTGAAAGCTGAACCTATTTTTTCACACCTAGTCCCTTTTCTACATGAAAAGGGAAAAAGTTTAAAGTACAGCTTTGATTTATTTCAAGCAACTGACATAAAGCCAAACCTCCCTCCTTTAAATAATGTTAAACTATTTCTTCATAGCTACATTTTTCAAAATTAATTGAGAATGTTTATATATTTCTCTACAACATTTCAAAAACATAACAAACAAGGAAAATGTCTCCTATGATTACCTTTGTTAAACACAACTATTTGGTCGCAAATTATTATTTCTCATTAAGAAACTCACTGAAAGACTCTTAAGCTTAATTCACTTTATCCCTTAATCTTATTCCTAAATCATTCTTACTTGCTTTAAAATATTTTAATCTGCCCATCACGTTGAATTATTCTAGGGTGGTGATACTATAATAAAAATGCAGAATAATAAAAAGAAGAGATACAAGATAACATATCAGCCTTTGAACAGCTATAAGATTAAAAGGCAGTAAGTTTATAAAAACTAATAAAGTAATTATGGTGATAAAGAACTGCAATAGCCATCAGATCAAGTTTGTGGCCAATTAATACCATAATTCAAGGACATTATGAGCAATTCCAATTTATCCTATGCCCAAATCTAATATTTGTCTATTCTGATTTTTTCATTGCCTGGCCCTAAACTTCATGATAAACAAGGTGCCCTTGAAAAACATTACAACATTTTAGCTTTGTTTATTCAATTGGTTAAAACATACTTTACCACTTAAGCTTAATTACTGTACTTTCTCAAATATACTGACTATATTAGATAGACTTGGTTAGGTGTCCTCTATTCCAGAAGCTCCTCAGAGTGTTCAGCAAGAAAAGCAAATTAACGAAACAAATTAGTTTGGACCAACTTCCAACTGTGATCGTGATAAAGAAGAGCCAAAATGGCTACAGTATAATCTTATTCAGCAATGGTACAGTGAATATGGGTCCCATGGTAAATTGAAAGCACTCCAGGAATCATGAGGTGACCAGTTATAATATACCAAAAGAGAAAGAATGTACAGTGGGCGATTGCAATCCCCAAAATAGATTATTATAAATTTCCTAAAAGAGTTGTCTTTTCTTATCCATTGACAGCTAAAGACCACGCATATCTTTCTCAGTGTGTTCCTGGAACATTTGTTGCTACTTCAAGAGCCAGAAAATCAGGAGAGCATTGAATTGGGAACACAACTTTAAGAAATATCTAGTAGAAGTTAGTCAGACTGATTTCTCTTTAAATCTAAAATGTGTTACTTCTGAAAGCTCCATGTTACAGTCCATTTAGTTACTGATTCATGGAAAATACCTTTAAAATTTATTTAAACTAATAAAGTGGAGGATAAGATAATTAAACAATGAGCACAAGTAGTCCTTAACTTGCAATCACAACTCAAGCCCAAATTTCCATTACTAAGCAAGACAATTGTTAAATAAGTTTTGTATCATTTTATGACCTTTCTTGCCATATTTATTAAGTGAATCACTGCAGTTGTTACATTAGTAACACAGTTGTTAAATGAACCAAGCTTGCCCCTTGATTTGTCAGAAGGTTGCAAAAAGTGATTACATAACCCTGGAACACTGCGGCCCTCATAAATATATCCCAACTGCCAAGCATTCAAATTTTGATCAAGTGACATGGGGATGCTACGTTGGTCGTAAGTTGAAAAACGGTCATTAATCACTTTTTCAGTGAGTTGTAACTTCAAATAGTCACTCATTATGATTAGTCTTCATGCAGGCAATATAGTGCATTTTGGTTTTTTTGTTTATTGCTGCTGCTCTTACTAATGTACTATAATTTTAATTATATCAATGCAAAACTATTACGGTTTTATTCCTGTGAATAATCCCGTAATTCTTCCCATCATTGTTTCCATATGCATTTTCCCCAGTCTGCCATCTTCTTATATCTGCTTGTTTTTCATCAATTTATTTAGTATATCTTATTTTAATGTTCATGTGTTACATTTTGGGTTTCATTTTAAAGAAAGCCTCAGACAGAAGTGATCCTCCTCATTTCTCCAGTTTTATATGCACTTCGCTAAAAATATAGTATATATATATATATGGATCTTTAGTTGTTCAGGTTTTCTCCCGCGTAAGATTCGAAGTATCTAGGCAACGTTTCGATGAAGTCTCATTCATCATCTTCAGGCTTCTGTCTTCGGCTCTGTGCTTCTCAGTGTGATGTGAGATTGCAGCTGCTTCTTCCTTTTAACTGCTAGTGGGGGTGGGACTTGATTGGGTGGGGGCTTGGCTGTGTTCTGATT